TGAAATAAGCCTGTTTCCTCTGGTAAAAGAGAATCCATGGCATAATCACGGTATCCACCAATGGCTCCCCGCCACCGGTTCAATCTGAGCGAAAGATTCCATTCGAACGACACCGTACCATCTGTCACGGTGTACTGGCATACATATTCGTGGCGTAGAATGGCAAGAAGTTAAAGTCGCCATTATTACTAGAGACCGCATGCGTGACGTGCGCGTCCGTGCGTGCTATATGGCCTTAGCGATCAAACAACCACACCCAGTTTGGGCTGAAATTCGTAAACGCTCGACGTACCGATTCGACAAGTTGGGACGCACCTATGCTATCGCATTATCGCGGGGGGAGGAAAGGGAGAGAAGCGAGGGGGTAATCCAAAAACGAACTTGGGATGTCGAAGCGGGGGTCAAAGTCAAGAACAGATGCATACTTAAAAGAGAGGCGGGAACCACCGGTTGCGATTGCAGCATCACCCACTTAACTTCCAAAGGCTGTGATAAACGGAAGACAAGGATAATGCGAGCGAATTACGCCGCTCCCCGCACAACCTAAAACCTGTCTAATGCCGTCCGTTTACCCCCCAAACGCCCTTTTTAAAAAAATGCATTCTTAGAGTTTTATCGCTTGGCTTGTGATCAACAGTGTGACTGTAAGCTGAATACTTTCTCTGGAAAATAGTGTATGTGTATTAAATATCGAAACGATCGAGGAAAATACGGCGGGGCTCGACCTAGCGCCGTGATAGTCGGTGTATAGCATCATGCGTAGAAAAGGCCATCACTGGTGCCGAAATTGGAGGTCAAGTGGAAAAACTTTTTTGTTTCAGTGGTACTTAGCATTTTTATGGCTTTATTGAAAGGACCATAAAATGTACTTTCTGCTGACATGCGAAGAGTAAGTGTCGGATAACCTTTTGACCCTCAAGGGAGGGTTAAACATGGATTGTCTGTGCTGTCAACAAAGGACTGAACTGCTTTGTGCTATTGTGGATTGGAGGCCCACAGTTCAATTGCAAAGGCAATATATTGTTGAACAAGGTTTACGCTCCTTAAATCATATTATTTCTAAAGCAGTCTGTATTAGCATCCTGAGTAGCACCCTGTATTAGCACATTGTAATGAACCCTGAATGCTCGCGTGGGTAGGCAAAAACATGGGGGTAGCCCATTATGCATGCATGGGGTTGAAATGCACTTATCTAATCATAATTATTGCCTGGCAACCTGCCAATGCAGATGTGTTAACTCACAGCTGAGCCCAAATTCTTGCCTGCCGTGATATACTTGGATTTCAGCAACTCAATGGAGTGAGGTTATCACGCACGAGGGTGATGCCACCTTTGATTATTGATGACACTTGCACGCGTCATGCTCGCGGCAAACTGCTTTTGCTATTGCCCCCCTCCACCTACCCCCTCCGCTTCCACTCTCCCCCACCACACACCACTACGCTCGCGCTCTCGCGACGCATATCCATGATAACATGTTTAATATAGCGAAGTCATTACAGTTACACAGCTGTACTTTATTACTGTACTACCGGTATAGCAAAGCCTAGCTATCATAGATTTTAGACGCATTAGTAGCATCCTAGATATATGCTCTGACGCGAAACGCGGTGATGGGAGGGGCTCTCATTCGTTTGCGCAGTGAGTTAGCATCAGAACACCTGGCCGTCAGGTGAGCGCTGTCGCTCTACGGCACTTGTATGATAGAATTCAATAGGAAACATTATTTGTGTTGTGGAATTTCGTGATGCGAACATTTTTTCTTAAACACATTACTCATGTAATGTAGGTTATTACTGTAGATGAGATTACACACCGGGATTTATAACTTCATCATCTAGTTGCTTGGAGTGGTTAGACTCATTAACCTAATTAATGTTTTCCTCAATATTGAATGCAAATTCACAGAAATGTTTCGATCTCTTTCATGTTATCATCTACTTTCTAAGACTGGCATTCTTACTACCCACTATTGTCTTGCCCTATGAACATCAACTTTTATATCAGATGTGTTTCAATAATAAGAGTATGACAAAAGACAAGAAAATTAATGTAAATAGAACAGAAAGCATTCAATCTAAAAACGATTGTAATGAAAAGCAAGGCCATAATGATGCATAAAAGGAAATCGGTTCATAATGGCAACAGAAATGATAGATAGCAAAATTGGCAATCTATAATTCAAAATTTAGTGTAGATATAATCACATATCTAATCATTATTGTGGAATGATATGCTGAAAATTTTTGAACCACGTTTGGTTTATATGGCAAACCGCTGGAGGCACGGAACGTTTAGAACAAACCTGTTAACCTGTTAATAAGGTTTATTTCATTAAAATAACTGCACCATCGAGAAAAAAATATTGCAAAATATAGTTTCACCTAACAGCAAACGTGTTACGTGTTCGTTCATTGCAGCCACAGACGGAATGCTAGCGTCAGAAGTGCCAGCGGAAGCCGGACTGGTGACCCTGCTAGACACGCACAGAGCTGAGGCGCCTGCACCGGTCCCCGCCCTATCCAGCCGACCTCAGCGCATCATCAGACGACCTCAGCCCATCATTCACCTGCCGCCCCTGCGCAGGTCGTCTACTCGCTCGATCAAGCGGCGAAAGTTTGACGATGAAGTCGTGGAGAGCAGCCTGGTGAAATCTGTACAGTAAGTTTATTGTTGTTTACTGTCTATGGCTATGTTACAAGCGTGCATTTATTGTGTAGTTAGTACTTGGCAGGTTTTTTTATAATGTCCTTTATTCCCAGAAACACATAAGTACAATACATTATACGTTATACAAAATATCCACAATACTGTGAAGGTAGCATAGTTCAGTGGTATGTGGCAGGTTGTTGTTCTCGGTTGATGCATTTGATGACAATTAATAGTCATTTGTTTCTTTAAAAAACTTCCTCTACTGTACTTTTTCTTATCTCTTGCTGCTGCTTCTCTCTCTCTCTCTCTCTCTCTCTCTCTCTCTCTGCCCAGGTCTCTGTTCGCTGCTCTCTGTCTCTGTCTCTGTCATCTGTCTCTGCTCTACTGTCTCTGTCTCCTTCTCTCTCTCATCTCTCTCTCTCTCTCTCGGCTCGCTCGTCTCTCTCTCTCTCTCTCTCTCTCTCTCTCTATCTCCTCATCTCGCCTCTCTCTGTCTCTCTGCTGCTCTCTTGTCTCTCTCTTTCTCTCTCTCTCTCTCTCTCTCTCTACTCTCTCTTCTCTCTCCTCTCTCTCTCTCTCTCTCTCTCTCTCTCTCTCTCTCTCTCTCTCTCTCTCTCTCTCTCTCTCTCTTTCTCTCTTTTTCTTTCTCTCTCTCTCTTTCTCCCTCACCCACTCCTTCTCCCCCTCTCTTTATCTCTCTCTCGTGTGCTTGTTTACTCACCTACTCTTCCTTGTATACTTGCTCACTCATTCTCTTGTTACTTGATTTCTATCTCTCTTTATCTGTGTCTTTGTTTTTTTCTCTGTCTGTCTCGCACTCTCTCTCTCTCTCTCTCTGTTTTTATTTTGTGTGTGCTATGTGCCATTATTTTTCTCATCTCTCTTTCTCTCCTTTTCTTCTACTCTCACAATTTGTTCTTTACCCTCTCCTACAGCTCATTCACCCCTTTTCACTCTCAAACCTCTTTTGCTCTTTTTCTTTTTCTCTCTTTTACCACCATCATCAAATTACCCTTATAATTATATCTCCTCTAATAGGAGTATAGGCACAGCACACCACAGCAGACAGAGGACCCAGTCAGGGGCCAGCACTGCATCTACGTCAACAGAACTTGCCGAAACACTGACCACTGTGACCACACCTGTCTCACACCCACCAGAAAAGAAGAAAGGAAAGTCGTCTTCGAAACGCCATAGAAAGCGACAGGTATTACATCTGTAGCTTCTTGAACTACAATGTCTATTCATTTAGGCCAGATTTCTCTTGTTAAAATCTTATAGATGTATTAGATATATATCTAATATATATATTTTTTTTATACATATAATCTTAGAGATAAGTAGATCATATAAACCAACCTAATATTTTGTATATAGTCTGTCATTTTCGTCATTCCCTTCAGTCACAGTCACTAGCAGTAAACAAGGACCTGGGAAGGTGGAAGCCAACAGACGATCTCCTGCTTATTATTGCTGTGCAGCAGGTGAGCAAAACACAGATGTAAACATCCTACTTACTTGGCTATGGTATGGAGGGTATCTTAAAAAAGCAACTGAAGTGCCTTGAATCAAGTCACATAGAGAACAATTTGCTATTGGTTTATCTTTATGCCTATTACACGTGCTAATGCAGATAATAATTAAATCAATATTAATGAATATATATGGTGATTTTACCCAGTATTTCTAATGAATGTATATAATTTCTCTGCTGATAAACTATGTGTAGGATCACAATCTAGCATATACATTTCAGACCAATGATCTACAGGCTGTATACACTGCGGTGAAGTTTTCCTGCAGGTTCACACTGAAGGAGATCCAGGAACGATGGTACACTCTACTGTATGATCCCGCTATATCACGGTCAGTGGACAACCCTATATGATATCACGTTCAAAACAAGCTACAATTTGAAAGCACGCAAAAAATATAAATTATAAGTGAACTTTACATCACTGCAAGAGGTATTAAAAGAAATGCATATTTAAAAGTATATTTGAATTCAGTTCTTATTGATATGCTATGGAACAATAAAAATTGGTATGTAGTATAAATAATCCCCAATTTACTGTATATAAATAATCCTGAAAGCTGTATAATGGATGCATCTGCGTAATGTTAATTATTATCTTGGGAAGGTTGCATTAGTAACATCAGGAGTTAATAAAGATGTCTTTGTCTTTATTAACTCCTGGTGACATGAGGTTATTTAGTCCAATAGCTATTATATCTTTGTGGTCGACTCATCTAGGTATTCATTTAATATTAAACGACTATTGTGTGGTAACGGGTTGTAAGTATGTTTTAGCATCGTTTTAGCTAAAGCGAATCTTCGAAGCGTACCCTGCAATAGTTTTCCAGGGTACCTCATAGTATTCCGTGTCTACGAAATATTGCTGACCCGGGTGAGTCATATCTATCTGTTGAGCATCATTACATTTATTGGCTTGGTTGTTTCAGAATGTCGACGCAAGCAATGCGACAACTTCACCCTGATGTCTATGCATCAGTACAGGCTAAAGCACTGTTCAGCAAAGCAGAGGAGAAACTGCTGGAAACAATACCATCAGTGAGTGGTTAAGCTATACAGTAGTTGAACAGCCCTAGTGAGGTCCTGTCCAGTGATGATGCATACAAAAGTGTCACCTATGTATCATTGTGGATTTCACATGCATTGTAGTGTCTTGTGTATGATATAGCGTGGTAGGAATGCCATGGTTTTCTATATCCAAGCTGTCACGCATATTCCACAGAGTGTATTAATAGCTGGTGAATTCTCGGTGGCAAACATGTAATGAAATTTTATTTATCCCATAGCATATCACGTCCACCTTCTGATGCCACCTTCTTCACAAACTTATGCCATGTTGTGCCACAAGTGCATTAATATGCAGAAAACCACAGTGTGTTTTATGTGTTTTCCTACAGTGTAATATGCTTAATAATATGCTATTGCTGCTCTGTTTTGTGTGTGTTGTGTATGTGTGACTTGCCTGTATAAGAAATAATGAATATAAACTTCTTTTTTTTAACAACAACAACAAACAACAATAGTTATATCAAGAATCAAGAATAGATCATGTTTATCGTAATGCTTAGTGTATTTATATCATATGCTTCACCGGAACGTTTGATAGATGTAATGTAAGAATCAATTTGTTGATGCGAAAAAGGTGTAGACATTTATGTGATATAGTTTTTAATGCCTTGTTGTCAGTAAAATTGCACACTCAGGAGTAGATTGGAGATAGGATTTCTTTTATCCACTCCAGTCATAGGCATGTACAAGTCATTGGTCTTGTGAAATTGCAGAACAGCCAACCAAGTTCGGAAACATTCCAAGAGCTGCTGAACAAGAACGGGACAACATTTTACCCATCACGAACTTATAAAGCCTTACAAACTCATTGGCTGTTGATGAAGCAGTATCATCTGCTGCCAGATCAATCAGGTATGTAACACTGATAGCACATGGGAAAACTGGAAAGGTACAGAAACTACAATGGTTTTGCTGTATTGTAATTGTAAGTGCAATTAATAACCTGAATGATGTGTTTAGCTTTGTGGGTGTGCAGTTTTTTTCAGATATTTCGTGTTATGTCTTCTCTCTCTCCTTCTCCATCTTCCTGCCCCTCCTGCACTCTCTCTCTCTCTTTCTCTCTCTCTCTCTCTCTCTCTCTCTCTCTCTCTCTCTCTC